CCTTATGATTCATCACCCCCAAACTCAATCCCAGCCTTCCCTTTGTGGTATGGTACCTTGCAGTACAATTTCAGAGAGATCCATACACTTGAACACAAGTTATTGTCTGGAAACTAGAAAAATGCTTATTTTTGGCCCCTTTTTGGCCCCCAATTCCTAAACGTTTCAGGCAATTACCCCCAAACTCAATTCCAGCATTCCCTTTGTGATATGGAACCTTGTAGTACAATTTCAGAAATATCCAAACACTTACACACAAGTTATTGTCATGAAACTAGAAAAATGCTTGTTTTTTGCCCCTTTTTTGGCCCCTAATTCCTAAAATTTTGAGGCAATTACCCCCAAAATCAATTACAGCCTTCCCTTTGTGATATGGAACCTTGTGGTACAATGTCAGAGAGATCCATACACTTACACACAAGTTATTGTCTGGAAGTTACAAAAATGCTTATTTTTGGCCCCTTTTTGGCCCCTAATTCCTTAACTGTTGGTACCATAACCCCCAAAATCAATCCCAACCTTCCTTTCGTGGTATTGAACCTTATGGTAAAATTTCATGGAGATCCATTTACTTAAACTAAAGTTAGAGTGCGAAAACCAATGTGTCTTCGGACGACGCCGGACGACGCCAGACGACGACGACGACGACGACGACGCCAACGTCATACCAATATACGACCAAAAAATTTTCAATTTTTGCGGTCGTATAAAAAAACCGACGCGATCATGTTTACAATTATATTTTGAACATGGCGACTAATCTAAATCGGATTATTTAACTGTTAACACGTCTAAACATGTTAAAGGTCACTATATATACGTACAATAACGACAAGTTAAAACACGCTTTCAATATTGATTTAACGATTATATTATTTATATAATAACGTGTACGTCTTATTCTTCACAGCCGTAGGTGAATAGATATATAAACAAACAAATATATATATTTGATACACACTTAGATGGGTTTACCTGTATATCTATTAATAGACTGGGGATTTTCATATATCAAATTAAAATAAAAATAAAAATCATATACTTATGCATAATTAACACAAACGTAATTAGTAACATTTTATAATGAGTTTATCCTCCAAAGAAAATAATTAATTTAATTAATTAGTGTCATAATACCTAAAAATGTCGTCATAGAAATAGCCTCACATCGGGAGGCTACCTCTCAGGAGGCTACCTTTTCCCCATAGGGTTAACATCAGCAAAAAGTCGCCAGAACCGGTAGTTTCCCCACTACTCCAAGGAACTCACCTTTTATTTCATTTCATTTGCTTTATTGTAACATACAAGAATATATATGGTTTCGCGATGGGGATCTTGACAGTTTACAAGTTTTCAACAAAAAAAAGAGAGTAGGGGTTACCCCAGGGGACTTCCCCTAAATTTAATTTGCTTTATTTTATTGTCCCATACAAGAATATATATAGTTTAGGGGTGGGGATCTCAACCGTTTACAAGTTTTCAAAAAGAAGGGGGGTAGTGTTTACCCCCGTGGACTTCCCCTATATTTCATTTGATTTGATATATTGTTCCATACAAGAATATATATGGTTTCTGGGTGGGAATCTTGACCGTTTACAAGTTATCAAAAAAGAGGGGGTAGGGGTTACCCCAATGGACTTCCCCTATATTTCATTTGATTAGTTTTATTGTCCCATACAAGAATATATATGGTTTAGGGGTGGGGATCTCGACCGTTTACAAGTTCTTAAACAGAAAGAAGGTGGGGATGACCCAGGGGTCTTAGCTTTTATTTCATTTGATTTGTTTTATTGTAACATACAAGAATATATATGGTTTCAGGGTGGGGATCTTGACTGTTTACAAGTTTTCAAAAAAAAAAGGGGTGGGGGTTAGCCTAGGGGAATTCCCCTAAATTTCAATTGATTTGTTTTATTGTCCCATACATGGTTTAGGGGTGGGGATCTCAACCGTTTACAAGTTTTCAAAAAAGAAGTGGGTGGGGTTTACCACCGTGGACTTCCGTTAAATTTCATTTGATTTGTTTTATTGTCCCATACAAGAATATATATGGTTTAGGGGTGGGGATCTCAACCGTTTACAAGTTTTAAAACAGAAGGAGGTGGGGGTTACCACAATGGACTTCCCCTATATTTCATTTGATTTCTTATATTGTCCCATACAAAAAATATATATGGTTTAGGGGTGGGGATCTCGACCGTTTACAAGTTCTCAAACAGACACGCTGGGGGTGACCCCAGGGGACTCACCTTTTAATTCATTTGATTTGTAACATACAAGAATATATATGGATTCAGGGTGGGGAGCTTGCACATTCACAAGTGAACCCGAGGACTATCCCAATATTTCATTTGATTTGTTTTATTGTCCCATACAAGAATATATATGGTTTAGGAGTAGGGATCTCAACCGTTTACAAGATAAAAGCACATTATCAAATTGAAGGGGGGTAGGGGTAAGAATATATATGATTAACGGACACTTAATTATCTACAAAATGTCTAATAATGAACAGTAAATTCCAAACTTCATTTATACAGTAATATTAGTAAGTTTCAAACTGTATATATACAGTCCTACAGATCTTATCAGAAAACAGAAAATTTTGTCACTCCAATGATTATCATATGCTAAAATATTTCCAAGATCTAATTAATAATGAAAATAAATCATTATCATATGCTGAAATATTTATAATATCTAATTGAACAGAACTATGTTTGTTTAACATAGTACTCTAACATAATTAATAATGTAATTATCTTCAAAATGTCTAATGATATAGCTTATAATCATTACCACTTAGGAAATAGATAATTTTCAAATAAATCTGTCACTCCAATTTTTATTCTGAGATAAGACAAATCATAACATAATAACAACAGTAAAATATTTAAACATTCTACTTTTGGATATTAAAAATGGCGATAACTCACAAAGGAGATATACTAAAATCTTGAAAATTAATAGAGACCTTCATTAGGTCCCAGGAAACAACATATTTAAATTTGAAAAAAAATTGTTAAAGCGTTTTCATGTTATTGTGCTGACACTGTTTGGCAGCCGCCCGAACCGCCCAGCCGACCGCCGTATATCACCATTTTAATAACCGATATTTCCTTCGAAAATCCGGTTAAAAATGTATGTGTTTTTCGTTTCATGTTCGCAAATGAGAAGCATAATGTAAGCACCTTATCAAATTAAATGTATTTCTATGTTTAAGTTCAGCTACATTATACGTCTTCGTGTTCTTTTTATTCAGGTACGTTATGAAATGTGCTGCTGACTGAGCACTTTTAGCTTGGTGTAAATATAACTGTGATAATTCGTTGATTCTGTACTGTTTATTATTGTTTAATTTGTGCTTGTGTTTTGACATCTTTTATAACGTTATCACGTTATGTATTTTCATTTTTCCGGTTCATTATATGTTCTTCCATTTGATAATCCACTGGTCGCGATTCAAAAGGAGGAGGGTTGATGTGCGTGTACAAAGTGCGGAATTTCGTCAATATATAATCACATATCTTGTGGTTTTTTTTCTTTTTTCTATTTGGTGAATATAATATCGGTGACAGATCTTTGATAGTCTCTTTAAATCAATCACAATGTTTAAGACTTGGGTCAATTTAGTATTTGACTCAAATTTGTTGTAGACCGATTATTCTGTGTCTTATTTGTAGATTCTGATTATTACCTATTTATTCAATGAAAGATTTTCGATAAACTTATCTGTTATAATCGATACAATTCGATTTTTTAAATACAATTTACTGACAAGTACATTAATTGGAGTGCATACGACTGATTCAACTAAATATTTCGTTGCTCGATATCGTTGTTGTGCGGAATCATATTGTAATATTTTAATGTTTTGTAAATATTGACCTCTGGTTAAATTGGCTTTATAACTGTTATTTTGTGTACAGAGAAAATTAATGACGGAAGGCTAATTTGACAAATGGCTAGTTTTATTATCTGCAGTTTAAGTTGAACTGTTTGATGTAATTAAGACAAGTAACGATGTCTTGCGGTGTAAGGTAATAAAATTTAGTTATTGTCTAGAGTGAAAGTAATTAAACTTTCTGATAAAGGTCAGTTGGTCAAGATACTGGCAGATTGTGTATCAGCTGTGATACTTGAATCAGTAAAGATTCTAGAGGACTTGTTTTAAAAGTTTATATGTTTAAACTTTGCAGCTAACTTTGTCAATAAGTCTGAAGTAATGTACATTTGTGAACAAACTTGTAAATATATATCGTATTATTTAGTTAATGAAATTTACCACAGGATACATTGTCGTGCCATAGTATGGTTATATCCGTCCGTCTGTGTCGTTGTCGTTCCTCCCCTCGGTCACGTTACAATATATACCACCAATGGATTTTGAAAGCGCGCTAACTGGATAATCTCCTATTGCGAACCTTTTCCTTTACTAGAAAGAATCTCAAGTCATGACACACCTCAATTAATTCATAAACATCTAACACAGTAACTATGATTGTTTCAAAACATAACAAGCAGATACGAAAGGGGGGTTTGAAAACCATAAAAGAAACAGACGATACCAGTGTCAAACAAACAAAAAACAAAACAGTCTGTAAACACTTCACAGGAACTTTAAAAACTGAGAAAGAGAACCCAAACATAAACCAGTGGTTAACTCGAATGAATCCTACGTGTAAGAAGACTCTGCTTAAAATTCACTGTCAATTTGCATTCGGGGTTTTCATAAACGGAGAAAGGATCGTAACTACGAATAGTGGAACTTATTCGTGATAATTTGATTTATGAATCTGTTTTCAATTTACCTTTACCCATTTTAAATGCAGTTCGTTGTTGCATTTTCATAAACTGTAAAATTATATTTGAAACTCGTGCAATACATTTTTAATTCCTTAAAGATGTTTATTTTTTATAAGAATACATTTTCATAGAACTAAATGCGCCTTTGCTACAAAATTTAGATTAAAAGAAAGATAAAGTACGTTATAACTTACTTGTTGAGAGAATCCATATATTAAGGCTCCTTTTAAGACAGCTATTTCTGCCTCCTCAGGTATAATAACATTCATGGAGGTTCCTACATGCTTTCGCACAGCTTCTTCTACTAATTCATTTTGGGAAAATCCTCCTACCATTATCACATTTACTAAATCAGACACTTTTGCATCGGAAAGTACATGTTCAATGGACTTCATCAATGATTCAATAGTTTCTCCGAAAAGACGCTTCACACCACTTTTTAATATGTTGAGCCTTTGATTTGAACAATAAATTTCATTTTTGTACCGATACTTTTTAACTGCGTCGTCAGCACTGATATTTCGAACCTTCAAAACAAGTTCCATAAATGAAGAGGATAAGGAAATGGTAATGCTCATTTCTGTCTTAACTATTCTTTTCTTAAATTCAAATTGATCACATAAATCTTTAAAATCTTCATTTTGGCTTCGTTTAAACTCTTCCATAACATTTTTGCCAAATATTTCGGCCAACAGTTTGAGGAATTCTTCATCGACTGACGTACCTCCGTACGGATTTCCACAATGAGGTATAATTTCCTGAATGGAACCATTAATTTGTTTTTGGTGTACTGTTATGTCAGTATATCCTCCTAAAAATATTACGTTATGGTAATTTGGAAAAATTAAACAAGATAACATTGTATTCAAAGTACATGTATTTTCATTTTTCATAGACTTATATAATGAATATTCTTAAGGATAAGATTGACTAACACATACTTAAAAGCGTGTGTTTTTTGTTTGAATTTGTAGGAAAACTGATTAACATTTTGTCTTGGAAGTTTCACTTCAATATTTGGATGTGGAATGTTTTTAGGTCAGCGCGCGGTGGTGTTTGTGACGTCACCAGGCTCATGTTAGGAAATAGTTATTTTTAAGCCTTTTTAGGGGAGACCGTTGAACAGATATTGATAAGAGTAACACGATAACTATTGATTTTATTTTTTACAAGTAATTGATGATTGATCATGCATGCTTTTTTGTACATATGTTTCTTGTAGAATTTAACAGCATTTTCATCGATTATTTGCAGAAAATGTACATATTTCAACAGGTTTTACGGGTGCACAGATTTGTTTTTAGTGCATGTTTAGAAATTTGAGTGTAGGATTTCATTAATATTTACGAACTTCGGAGCGATTTCTATGTCATTGTTTTTTCTCTATCCAGGTCAGGTTGTCAAACGGACAGCACGTGTATTTATTTTCTTGATTAATTTTACATGAAAACTGATGTCTAATCACTGATCATGAGTCTGAGTCTTCATTCATTGCATGCACACACAAAAACACGCTGTCGTTATAGTTTTTTAACAAAACGTTTATCGATTAATTTTAAAAAAAACATGAATTGAAGCAGCTAGTTCTTTTGCAGGGCTGGTTTTCTATTTCAGAATACATGTAGGGGATTTTTTTAATGGCAACACTGAAATACGTGGACCTCAAAACAATTGTATCCGTGACTCTGGATAATGCAATGTCACTGAATGTTCTTCATTCCCACATCTTATATATTAAAGCGAAAGTTTCGTGCTCATTGCAGGAGGATCAATACACGACTTGTAAATATCTTCTCTTTCAGAAAGGACCGAAATAGAATAACGAAAAATGTTTGAGGTCAGCTTTGTCGGAGGGAGTTGAAACCTTACTTTAACCATCCTATCATGATTTTGGAAATTGGAATGTACTAACAACATGAATTGGTACAAACTAAGTGGTACTAACACATATTTTTGTCAAACGGGGTTAAATGATCCTTAACGATCAATTCGTACTAGTGAAAGAAGAACATAACACAAAGGAATCCTACAATTAGATAAAATCAAGCTTTAGTACACACAGAAATTGAGCAGGAAGACGTAATATCTTATTGATAAACAGACATGAGAAAAAAATGATAAATAGACATGAAAAAAAACAATTATCAAGCATAGTTTTGCAGCTTTAATCCTAATCCATTCTGGCATGTAACCATTCGTTATTACTTAGTCAGTGTAGTACCATGTGCGTGCTGAGTATACTTTTTTGTTTAAACATGTATTTTGAAACGACCTTAATGTCTATTAGTTTTAACCTTACTGCTTAACATTTAAATTCCTTTGTTTGTATATGTTTACGCTTTCCATCATCATGTCTAACTCACTTGGTAGATAATGTTTCTATTTCACAAATTGCTACACAATGCTTTTTATCTGCTTAATCGGCTTCAGTATATATGTTTGTATGTGTGCATGACCTGAATATTTTTAAGACATTGGATATAATTTGAATGTTTTACTTTTGTTATAATATGAAGACGAACTCCTCAATACCAGTAAGAAATTCAATGAACAAAAACACGTTATAAAAACAATACACTAAATTGTCTAACAAGATTTTGTGAGGTAGACGAATCTGGCCTTGAAATGATATAATTTACTTTTAATGTGCAAACATAGGCAGGTCGGTCATATTTTGGCTTCATAAACTCACGGCTTTCATTTGGATTAAATTGGAATGAAAACAAATTTATAAGACTAAAAAATACTATTTGATAAGACACACAAGCTTCTGAAGAATGCGCTATCTTAATACTGTAAAAATCCTCTGTATGTAATTACGAAATTTTGTGAAAAAAGTAAGAAATGGCAAATCGAACCTTTCGTACTTTTTGTTTCAATGATTAAAAAGCATGAACTCGTCCAGTGTCCAGTTTGGTATAGATTGAGGACAGAAAACTGAAGACAATCCTAACTATAATTGTTAATCCAAACAAGAGTAATTTTATAGTTTCTTAAATAATTTGTACCTTTTGAACTAGAGATGCCATCCCTGTCTTCATAAGAATTACCAATACGAAATAAAATTTCATGTTCAGACATAAAGCACGCATGACAAATTTGAACAGGTGAAGTAATAACTTCACCCAATCGAATTTCGCAAGATTCAATAAGAATGACCAGTCAATATTACAAAATACTACAAAACACTCATCACCAAAACTTTTTTAGAATTTCAAATACCTGTTTGTCTGTATGTGGCATAGTTTTTCGATCTCTTATTAGCGTTTTTAATGAATTAGACATGTTGGGCTTCAAAAGTCAACAAATGTATTGGCTATATAAGGAAAACTTGCCTTTTTAAAGCATTAATGTAAAATACATAATACAAATATACATAGCAAAATCACTTCTTAAAATGTTGCATAAAAATTCATTTTGATTAATTCAGTGGTCTTGTCATAAAGTGCATTTAAATGAACCATGGTAAAGCAAACATCGAGTTCCTTCAAAAAATCACACACCGTAGTGAATATGAAATTTGCATTGCACATTACACTTGTTATCGGAGACTGCTATTTTGTAGAGCTTACGAATTTTTGCAAATTTGTATATTTGATTGTCTCAAAAGTATCACGAAACAAAAACGGACTTCATTCTCTTTCATAGGAAACACCTTCCTCATGTTACCGTGATGACTGCATAATCGTCAGGTCTAAAATTCAGTGTTAAATTTTAACATTTTTTATTCATTAGGGTATGAAAAGGATTGCAAAACAGACATAGCCTATAAAAGCTCTCTTCACATTATATGCACAAGCATAAATCATATTTGAACACCTGTAATGCGAGTAATAGAACTATTTTAAAGTGAATTAACGCATGCTACTTATGAGCACATAAAAAGAGTACGTATTTACAGTATGTATACATGTGTGAAGGCAATTATACATCAGTTACTGAAGTATATTGGGACACGTTAATATCAACACCATTTATACGTAATTAGAAAATATCAAAACAATACGGTTTTGAAGAGTCGCTAAGCAAACTTGGTGGAATAAACAAAATAATGATGTAAACAAAGTAACAAAATTAGGGGCGTTTCTATGATATTTGAAAGAGGGGGCGTAGAATCAAATCTTTCGCCGAGCGGAGGGATGCGAAAAAAATTTTGGACCTTTTTTTTGCTAAAAAAAAATAAAATAATTGTGAAATGCACTAATGTAACGGTTCCTGACTTGAAGCATGTATATTTTATAGTTATATATAGAGTGTCAGGGTTTGACATTTTTTATGCCGATTTCTCTCCATTAATTGTCTATGGTATATTAAAATGATTGGATGGATCTTAACAGCAGTAGACCAATAACGAGAAATTCCAAATTCTAGGGTATAAGGCGTTACTTAACATTTCAATAGTCCTAGGCCAGGATTTTATGAACGGGAGACGAAATTACGGTTGCCCTGGTAGATGGTCCATGGAGAAGCTCAGAAGCTCCTGGATTTCAACAATTTAGCATCAAATTATGAAGTAGCCAGACTGATAAATATCTCTCTATCTTAGATTAAGTTCTGGTTTCGTTGAACGACACACATATGATACAAGACAAACAAACACTGAAGTATAAAGTTCTTTTGTTGTAAATATTGTAGGCTTTAATGTGTTTTATTTAATGTGGAATACATGATTGAATATGAAAAAATTGACCTCATTGTACTACAGTACTAAATTAAAGCAATCATGTCACTGTCTAGTTCCGATAGGTGGTATATGGTACATAAATAAATATAGTGCTTGAACTTCATGGCAAAATGTAGGTCAATGTCACTTAGTTACTCACTAATGGATATTGAATCAATATGATACTACCAAAGGCTATCCAGATGAGAAGTGAAAATGCTATACCAAATATTACATGTTACTAGTATAAATGTACCTTAATGCAAAACCTGAAATGAACATAGAAACAATGACGGACTCTCATTTTCAATGAATGGTTAGACTAGAGTGGATTCTTTAGAACCATTTTCAGAGTATGTGTTTAATTAATGAATATGATAAATTGCCATATTCAATACAATGTTAGCAGATTACGATAGTTTTTTTGTTTTTTTTTTTAAAGGGGGGGGGGGGCGTACGCCCATTACCCCCTCACCTGGACCCGCCCCTGAAAATGAAAACTGATCAATCCTTTGAATAAATCTTTTCTTAAAGGATATCATTTTATCCCCGTAGTAAGATCTTTCAATATTGTATTTATCGGTTCTTACATTGATTTTTTTTTTCATAGATTAAAACATAACTAAATATACCTTGCTTTACATTTGTGAAAACTTTGTGGTCCTACATACTGTAGATATAATGTACTTTTATTTTGGCATTGCACAAGGACATCTTTACACGAATGTTTTCGGATGTGCACTGATTGATACTTTAGTCTGGGAGAACATGATTTGTCAAATTGTTGTTATTGGCTTTGAGCTAGCTTTCACTAACTGCTGAGCATTCTTAGATCTGTACTTAGTGGGGCTTTTTTGTCTTTCTGTTTATTGATTTTTTCTTTGTGCTACGGCACAATCTAACGTGTCAGGCCATTTTTTCAACTAAATTTATGATTTGTCAAAATGTTGCGCTGTTCGAATTTAGATATAGGATAGGGCGTTCACAAACATGTTTAAACCCGCCATATTACATATGTGCCTGTCCTATGTGTGGAGCAAGAATTTCAGTGGTTTCTGTTTGTTATATTTGTTTTTTGTCTATTTTTATTCATTGGTATTTTCAGTTGCATTTTATAGCTGGGGTTTTCTTTTTCTTGGCCGCATGTT